GCCGATGTTATTTTTAAACCAGGTTTCAGTTATGTATGTTAAACCGTATGTTACATTCAATTCAATTCAAATTAATCGTACTTCTCACTCTAGACACCATAAGATAAAAAAAAATGTATTTATTACTTCAATGTTTTACCATGAAATTCACATACAAAATCTTGTTTAATGACGAATAACTGTTAATATTATTTTGGTTAATAATATAATTATTAGTTTAAATTGGACCGTTTAAATTAAAGCAATCTCAAAATCGGAGAACAGAATAAATGCTATTATATTGGAGTTTATATTATAATGTAATCATAATGTAATCTCAAAATAAACTCAACGTGTTCGGAATAAAATAATTAATTGGAGGGTAGTTTTGGATTATCGATAAGTTGACCGAATGAAAGCGAAGCGCGCGGCAGACGCTATTGGGTGTAACTCGTGTGAGTTGATTGGGCACAGTTTTTTATTAAGTTGTGACTGCCAAATAGAAGTATAAGTCCAGTGCGTTATTAAGAGTTTTACATAATCGTAAATTCAGTGTGCATACTACGTGACCTAATTTTATTCCCGACCCACTTTGTTTCTTAATATAGTGAAATTTCCTTTTATATGGGCGAAATTGAATCCTAGTAACGATACAGAAAGACACGCCACAATAATAGTGCAATTAAATCAGGACAACCACGGGACCGGAGGTACGTTTTAAGGTATTGAACCATACGTTTATTAAAGTGTATGTCTACATTTTTGTGTCCTTGTGATACACGAAGTATAATATAAAAATATGTATAGGACATTTTTTTAGATCATATAAAGAGCCGTTTTCGCGCTGTAGGCATCGGAAACCCACAAAGATGCGCGATGTTTTATAGCCAAGATTTTATTCAATATAAACTATAGATAAAGTATTTCCAAAAATTGTTTTTCTTCGGGCCATATTTGGACCACAATAATTTAGAGATTGCTCGGAGCACGAAGCACCGTCCACAGATGAAAAAAGTCGTCAAGTTTGCAATTGCATTTTTGTTTTAGTCTAATTTTCGAATATCTAAAGCCAAAAATAGGAAGACAGAGCATCTTGTTGCGACCGCCTCTGTAGCCAAATGGTTAAACGTATTGCCTAGCATTGCGCTAAGCGCGAGAGGTCCTGGGTTCGAATCCCAGGGAAACAAAGAATTGTTTCGGTCGGGCAGGGCACAGAAGTCTGATCAACTACTTGCCTGTTAAAGAACAGATCAGTGAAACGAACACAAAAATGTGTTCGCCCCATGCCCCACGAGGATTTCACTAGAGACTGGACTAGCATCTTGTTGAGTCCATTACATCAAATGACTTGTCTCTGCATTTGTCTTTACCTCCTCTATAAAAAAGTAGCTCAAAGAGGTGATAGATGATAGTCTAGATAGTTGATCTCCCGGCGAGATTTTTTATCTTATTATTATATTTAAGAATTACTTTAGTACTCTCTAAGCGAATATTTAACGTAACCGGTGAAGCCATTACTTACCGCCAATTTGCACAAAATATGTGTCTAGTTTATTATAAGTGATATATCTGTTGCATGTTTCTTGAGCGAGAAAATATTGTAAAAATACTACTTGCCTTGTTGAAAAAGAATAGTACATAGTTAGATTTTCTCTTAAATTGTGTCTGAAATTTACGCGAGTAGTACACATATCATTTTCAAATAAGTTTAGCTAATATATCGCGTTTTAAACCGTTAAAGTATTTTATTTAAATGAGTAGTACACATTTAAGTAAAAAAAGTTAAACGTGGGGCCGTAGTTAAATAATTTTCAAATAAATGTAACTAATAAAAGTGTTTTATTTGAATATACTTTCTCTTGTCTTTAACTTATTTCTGTATAACATTGTACCAAGTTACTTTTGATATTCACAGACATATCCGACTGATCGCTATCAATCAATGGAAGGGATAAACAGATTAGCTTCACTTGAAATCAATTTCGATTTGATTAACCAAACATTAAAGAGCAGTCCAATTCAAAGCGTATTCACATACAATAAGGAACATTTTCGCTTGATTAGGTCTATTCTTGGTATTTACTAAAGGCTGCATGTGATAGCTGTTTAGGAATTGATGCTTCGAATTAAACCCGTCTCTAGAACACAGGTGTACAAATGGAGTTCTGTAATTTTCGTGTTTTAACTTAGTTTGGAATAGCAAATTGCTTACAGTTTAGAGTTTGCTCTGAAGTAAATGAGTTCATCTTGCATTATTCGCAATCTGTCTGGGTCGTCGTTAATTTAAATTGCGTTTCAAACCGTTAAAAGTGTTGTCTTTAAAGAAAAATTAAATTCGTTTATTAGCTTCGGTTTGGATAAAGAAAGCTAAAACTTATCAGATATACTTAAAAAAGAACTAATTTTCAAAAATAAGCATTATAAATTCTTGTAACAATATTTTTTTTATGAAATTGTATACTTCCTTTACAGGCGTTTAAATCTTGGTTATTGCCAACAAACACTTGGCCAGTTTATAGAGGGTTTGTGTATTAAATTATCTTGCATTACAATGTCATAGATGTGTACTATAAAACATATTATAAGGTTACATAGAAACTCGTAAATGTCTTTAATGTCCCTCGTTTCGTTACGAATAAAATCGTTTCTTTTATTAAAGCGTAAAAATGTTTTTATGCCTTATTATATGAGTTTTGTACGGTAGGATCTACCTTTTATGAAATGTCATAATCGATTTATATTATGCATAGAACAACAGGGTCAATAACATAGTTCATTATACAATATTTGGTTTAAATGTGGCTTAAAAAGTTTCTTAAACTATCTATATCTCTTCTTAAAAAAAACTAGTTCTTCTTAATAAGAGCTTAACATTACGTTTAGGTGTTCAACTGGGATATAATTAGATATAATACGGTTACCTGGCATGTACGGGAGTGATAGGTACTTAATGTATCACTCCCGTACAGTACAATTTTAACGGATTTTTGCATTTGCATTGACGATGTTCGTACACATAAAATTAAAGAACTGGAAATACATACTATTTCCTGAAATACAATACTGAAATTAGGTTCTTAATTGCCTTTCTTCAGTAGCTACCCATACCCATAGTGCCCTATTAGTTTTTCCCTTCACTTCAGGTTGCCTGAACTTTTATTTATAAGTAAGTTTATACGTTTTTGTATTCATAAAACAAATCCTGTGAGTTTATAAGTAATAAAGTTAAATAAATAAAATAACTGGGAAAATGCAAAAATATTAGTTAATGTATTTAAAACGACGGCCCGTTGAAGACTGAATGTTATTTTGCGTTTCAAACCTTGAAATTTGTATTGTTAATTTAAAAGAATCTATGTTATACATGGTGGTCCAAGCTCACGTAACAGCCTATAATGGCGGTAAATCGTATTTAATTAAAAACCAAGAAAGCTCATTAGGGACGCGGACAAGTTAACGGAATACTAATAAAACTTAGAATCGTGTAGAAGTTGAGATTAAAATAGTTTGAAGTAGACTTGATCGTGACTTAGTAGTTTGAAAAGCAAAAAGCTAAATACTGTGCCTATAAGTTTTGCTTCTAGTTCTTCCTCTTTTTTCAGGACCAGATACAAAGCACGTAAATAATACTCTTAAACCAAACCTATACAATATACTTGCAGTTGATAGCGATAACCCAAATTTTCGCCTTACTCACAGTGTGACCTAATTTCGTCTACTTAATTTATTTTCGTCCCAATATTAGAAGTCAATTATCTTTTGATTATAACGACACACGTTACTGATTGTTTGAAATGGCCGTTTTTATATACTAACAACTATTATTATTAGCAAATAAAATATTAAGTATCAAGACTTACTTACTCCATGTACAAACAAGTTTTAAGGGTTAGTAACGAAATGCACAACTCATATGCACATCGTTAAAAAAAATCTGATCGAATAAAAACAAAGGCTTGAAATTGAAATAATTTAACGACAAGGGCGGGGCTCGAATTATAGAACATTGGAACGCTGTAGCCGTGGGTTCGATTTCATCTTTGTCACTTTTTTATTAATCTAAGCCATGTGGACAGCATGTGAAAATTATAAAATGCAACCGTTTTGTTATAGTTAACTTTAAGGTCTTATATAATTGGTCCTAGTTGTATTCATAAGCGCAGACGTTTATAAATCATGGTTATAAATTAAACATCTTCTATCGATTGTTTGTGTCATATTGGAATATGTAAAGTTACATATGAATATATGAACAATTCGAATCGTTTACCGAAACATGCAATGTCGTTCATTAGTTTGAAGTAGGTATGTGTATAATTATGCAATTTCCTCTTGCATCGAAGCCTATTTTTACATGAGGTCACAATTTACGTGACTCCAACCGTGGTGTATGTTATTAGAAGGCTAAGGCAGTCGTTAAAAGGTTTAATTGGCTTTTCACACAAACACACTCTTTTACTAAGCGATAAAAAATGAAATCCCATCCAGGCAGACATATTTTTGTATTTATTTCCCTTATTGATTTTATTTAGATCATTCTATTAACGGGTCAAGATTGATTCGGCTCTTTACGATCAAACAAATGACGAATGGATAACGGAGCTACGGATAATGTCAAACCAATAAATAACTACTAAACATTAATAAGCATCAAATCTATAATTAATAATGAGGTTGGAGAATTTATATTATTGAAAGAACAATATGCAGTTGACTTACTGCTGTCTCTCTACTCCGCTCATTTATTCATGTCAAGTGGTTAAGAACTGTTTATTTGAGTCGACGCGAGTAGTACACAATTAAATACAACACTTTTGATTGTTTAAAACGCGAAATATTTTAGTTAATTTATATTTACTACAGCCTGATGTTTAGCTTTGCTGCAGCCGTGGTCACGGGGAGGCGGAAGATGCAGGCGTTCCTAATGTCAAAGCCAAGTCTGCTACGCTAGCGACATCTGTTTCGTGGTTAATATTTCGAGAAACTGTTGGGTCCTAACGGTTTTGTTTATTTGATTTCAGACGCAGAAGGCACAGGCGGGGCGGATCTGCAACGCAAACTGGACCTGCTCAATGGTGCTCTGGACGCGGAACGCGCTGAGCAGGCTCGTCGGCAACTGCAGTACGTTGCGCACTGTAAGTGTTTGATAGGTATCTCATTTGTCACAGACAACATATAAAATATAGTAGCCTAACTATTTGAGCGACGATACAAGTGTTTGTAGTGGGTACAATTCCGCGTGTGTTGTTTTAAAATATATGAGAATTATTAAGTTACTATACCGTAACTATGCTCTGTGAGCAAGTTAATACATAAGTATTGTTAATACTTAAGTTGTAGACCGTATGTCTGTACGTCTATTGTCTTAGTTACGAACTGGATTAGGTCGAAATGTATTTTTTTAATTATATTTCAGTTTCAGTATATGAATTTGTGAATGTCCAAAGTAAATTGGGTTCCTTAAAAATTACAAAATATAAAAGCTGTACTCAACAGTAAAAAAAAAAAACTTATCACTATAACTTATACTCTTACTTTTTTGCTAATTTTTGTTGTGTGTTAGAAAAATCAATTGTTGCAATTTTAACGGACACGAATTATTCCTTCTCGCTCTATCTAATATGCTACAAGCCAGTATTATTCTCTATAAGTATATAATTAAACTTCGAGTATCCCAACATGCATTAAGCCGTAGAAGAAACTTCTCGGTCTCTTGGGATTTATTTCTTTCCACAATTCACTTACACATATCGAGTTCGGTCTGCAAAAGAAGAGATACAAGGCTTCACCATTATCGCTTTGAACTTGACCTTTTATTTTTACAAATTCAATAAAGTTTCTACTTTGTGTGGTTGGGTTAAACTTATTTAAATACCAAGACAAGTTCTTAAAATTATCAATACTTTGTTTATACGATATTAAAGTACCTACACTTATACCTGCCCCTTTATTATAATAAACGTAGATAAATTTTATTCTTTTTCGCATATTTTAATATATACTTCATTGATTATATTTCCCATAAACCAATTTTTGTAGCATTTATTAATTTTAGGCGTCAGTTTTATACAAGATATTAAAATTACCCAAGATATTGACTTTATTGTTAAATTTTATTGACATTGGTCTAATAGTATATGTATTATAATAACTAATTGGTGTGACCGATAACAGATCTAACATGTTTTTAATCAAGTTATAATTTTATTTAATAAAAAAATATATAACAATAATACAATATACATAATTGTTATATGTTTTATTCTTTTTATTAAACTTGTTTGATTTCGCGTAGAAAAATCTGTCCGAGTCACAAATCCCTGAAAGTATAGATTTCTGAGTGTCCAAAGCCAGAGAGGTCGGCACACCTTAATCTCTCAACTTTCATCATGTGAAACATGCTTTGTTTCACATGATGAAAGTCTTACATAGGAAAGTGACATCTTATTACCCCCCCGTTTAATATTTTTGTGTTCAAACATCTCGGCACTGCCCGACTGAAATAATATATTCCTTCGCCAAAATTCAAATTAAGGCAGCCATTTGATTATTTAGCTACAACGGCTTACGTAACTTGTTTCTATTTTCAGCGGGTTACTCAGAGGACTCCGATTACACGTCGGACCTCAATTTTCCGGTCGGCCAGCACCCGAATTGCAGCGCGTCGCAATTTCGGAACGCAGCCCATCAGATGCATACGCCACAGGTACCAGAAAATGTTATTTGGTCGTGAAATTATAATCTATACTTAAATTAAAAGCTGAAGACTTTGTTTATTTGTTCGTATGTTTGAACGTGCTAATCTCAGGAACTACGGGTTCGAATTAAAAAAAATATTTTTGTGTTGGTTTATAGATGTTAGAGACTCTATACCTTAATGACCTAAAAATAGGTAATTTATAGAGAAATCTATAATATAGCCTTAAGGAAAATATCACGAAGCGATGTTTCAGTAAAATATTTCAAATTGGTTCGCAAACCCTCAATCGCCCTATGATTGTCAAAAATTGTATACAATCTGTTTATATACCATTTATAATTTATAAATAATATTTTCATTAATTACAGAGATCTTTGGAGGCATCAAGAGAGAACTCATACGAACGAGAGGAGGAATATCACTTGCACGGCGATACTGACCCGTTGTACTACAACAGTCAACCTAGAACTAATAGGTAAGTTATTTAAATAAAACTTTAACAGTTTAAAACGCGATATATTATTAAACTTATTTGGACCACGGCTGCCGCAACATCCGAAACGTGGGCTGAAGTTAAAAATCATTTTAAGAATATAGCGTTTTAAACCTGTTTTATTTAAATGTGTACTACTCGCGTAAACTATAGACAGTTTAATAGGTAAGTTATTCAAAATGGCCATCTTTAAACCATACATGCCATCGGAAAAATATAATAATGTCAGATGCACGGGGCAGAGAAGTGTGATGTTTGTAAGAAAGAGTGATCTCTAAAACAGACATTGATATATGTCCTGCATAGAACAAATTTATAGTCAATTTTTCAGTTTCAAAAGTGTTGCTTAAGCAAAATTGGATCTTAATTATAATTACAAAAGCTAACATGCACTTACATGCACTTATATCTATAATTTGCTTATTTTATATTTGCCGAGCTCGATATATTTGCCGGGTTTCCTAATATCCAAAACCAAAATATGTCTACGTCGCATTTTGTTTAGATATCATATGGCTGGGGTACTTCACATACTTCAGAAGTTCAGTTGATGGTAGGTGAAGTTCGTTCTTCCTCTCTCATTAAAAACTGTATAAAACAAGTTTTCTTCATACATTTATAAGCTAAGATTGCGATTTAAAGTGTGTTTCATCTTTCAGGATAGACACGTGGTCACAGTTACATGCGCAAGCGAGTGTCGAATCAGCAATATCATGGCGAACAGCGGCGGATTGGCATTCAGCAGGTAAGAATTTTAATGGTTAAGTAAAAAGTTAAGGTAGAGATAAGTAGAACACTGTTTTTATCAAATGTCGTTAAATATTTGAATATATAGACTTTTAAAGATGGATTGTATAGTCTATTGTAAAGCACAAAGCTAGGGTTCAAATCTTAAGGAGATATTTTATCATTTTGATCAGGCAGATATAAAAACTACTATTTAAAAAGCATTTAATAAATTCTCGTTAATGATGGAAAAAAAGTAAAGTACCTAATTCCACATGCAGCAACGAAACTTCAGAAAACTAGTAATGTTATAAAAACTACTAATCTTCATTACAATAAATTAAAGAAAAGTAATCGAAAAATGAATAGAAAAAGTTATTTATAAAACAACTGCTGTTAATGCGTCTGTTACGATTACTAAGTTGAAATACTGTTACTTAAAACATATACCCTAGCAATGTTATTCCTAGAATATGAAATTGGATATATTTGAGATATCTTTCAGAAGATCAAAGAAGGCCGAGTCTCGAGAGACAGAATACTCTGTATGACGACGGGATGGGTTACGGCTATGACCCTTATACGACGGGTACGCACATTATGTAAGTATAACTTTAATATATTTTGTCTAAATTAATAAGGTATTTGAGTTGCGAATACCCCATACACCAAACCCACTAACTGGCAATTATACTAGTCAACCATACAGCCATAGTGCATTAACGCCGGATTCATTCAATTGTTTTATAAATAGAATTCCTGTCTAAATAAAACAACTTTAACGTGGCGATACGTCGAGGACCTCTTCTCACTCACGTCGGCCGAACAGCCCGAAAGACAATGACATGCTGAACGATGGCCGTGAAAGGCTTACACATTTTATTAAATATCAAAATTAGCTTTAATAATGTATGCCAATAACTTATAAGCTATAAATATCTCCTAAACCTTTCAGGGACCACCCACATTTATCTCATCAGCCGAGTTACGAGGAGTACTATGACACAACAAGCTACCCGTACCCCTTTGAGCCTCCCATAGCAATGTGGGACGAGCGGTTTTTATACCACGAGTGTACCCTCAACCCGATCGAGTACGAGAACATCATCAATAAACGTCGATCTTCTGTTGTACAACTGCCGCAGATGCCTCCCAAACAGGTAAAGATACGATAACATACTATTTGAAAACTCTAAAATTTTACATTTATATAGCGACATCATGTGAAAAATATTAAAGTTTTCAAAAATAACTCGTGATTCGTCTTATTTTCTTAAGCTGCAAAACATAAGACATTGGATCCTAATATCCTGGTACCTTAACAGGTGTTGAAATCACCTTAAGGTTGAAATTACATTGCTCGAGTGGTGCATGTAAGTGAAAAAACTCGACGATGAGGTGTAGGACACGGTAGCTTCAAGTCCTGACCGAGTCGTAAACTTTTTCAATTTTTTTTTCGGGTTTTAAGATAATAGTAGTTCATATTGAATTTAACACGATTGTTTCATTAAGGTTTACTCTATCGAATTATATATTGTTGAGATCGACTTTCGTAAGTACTCGTTGTACAAACTGAAGAACAATATTGTACAAACAGAGCAACCATTATTATATTTAAATAAAACAGTAACGGTTTAAAACGCGAGATATATTAGTTAAACGTATTTGAATATTATTTTTATCTACAGCCGTGGTCACAGGGAGGATAATTTAACTAATATTCATCGCGTTTTAAACCGTCAAAGTATTTTATTAAAATGTGTACTACTCGCGTAAACTATACATAGTAATACACTCAACTAAACATCTTAACAGTTTAATACGCTAAGTATATAAGTTCACTTAATTATATTTTGACTACGGCCGTGACCACGTATGCAGCAAAGTATCCAAAACGTCGGGCCTAAGTTAAAATAAATTAAAAATGCGTTTTTAAATACTTAGCACATTTTAACAAAAAATGTACGTGTTTAAAAACTTATTACATTTTTCCCACTTAATTGCACTGTATAAATTATAAATTAAAAAACATTTAAGACTTAGGCAGGAATTGGATCGGCAACCGCAACGTTCTGTTACTCTTACCAATTGAGCAACCAAGTCCTAAAATCATTGTAGCGAAGGTACTACATAATGTAGCTAAGCTAACCTAATAATTGTATACTGTCTATAGTTTACGTGACCACGTGACCACGGCTGCTGCAAAGCATCCGAAACGTCGGGCCGAAGTTAAACATCATTTTCAAATAAGTTTAACTAATATATCGCGTTTTAAACCGTTAGAGTGTTTTATTTAAACTAATAATTGTAATCATTTATTCACATGTGTGTGGTCGTGCTACATAGCCACACACATGTGCAAGTACAATACGTTTTGACGACATCTCAGAATTAACCAAACTAAGTCATCTAACGGGGTCAGGCTTTAGTTACTAAGTGCCTACAATCATCAAATTTTTAAATTCTATTGTTATATGCACCTCAAGCGCAATCTAAAAAAACATTTTAAATTATAATCGATTTTTTGTAATAATAAATTGAGTATTGAAGATCTACAAGCACTTGTAGTAACCTCCGCTTTGGCAAAACCAACGTGGGATCATAATTTAGCGATACTAATACTTCTATGATACGTAATATTGAAATGGTTCGTCTCTTTTCCAGTTACCACCTTCGTCCCGATACTCAGACTACAATGAAATGGCGCCATACAGACCGCGGCCGCGACGTACTGCGGCTAGTCTACCTGGTATTTGAACAGTTTGCATACATCTCATTATTTTTTAGTAATATTTTAACACCCAACAACTTCCGCATGTATACAAGGAGTAAGTTCTATTCGAAAATGTACTTATTTTTCGTTTCGAATTCGGTACAAAGTTACGTCTTCGAATTTTTCTATAAATCGTCCAAAATGGTCGTGTTAGACCATTTATCGAGGAAGGCTTTAGAGTTGAAGGCTATAAAACATTACGGCGCTGAAACAGTGGGTAATATGGAAGGAAGGGGAAAAATTAAGCATTTTTAATGTTTTCCGCTACGAAAACGGTTTAAGATGATTCCTCTATAACGATAAAAAAATGTCCGCGACAGTATATGCCCAATCTTTTAAAATGGAATTATAAGAACGACACGATGCGGATGACGTCGTGGCTAACAATTATAATTTATAAATTTGAGGAGAGATTTGCAAAAGCAAATTTTGATACCCTACATAATTATACGGGGACAAAATCGCGGGTACAGCTAGTGGTAACAGTGGTATACGTTTTTCATCAGCGACGCCATCTTCAACGCCGAAACGTAGTCGTGCCCTGCCTGTCCCTCCAGGCAGTGATTCGGGTTGGGGCCGACGTGGGAGGCGGCTTCCAAGACCGCCTGCAACGCAGCGACAGCAACCCGTGCCACCAGCCTCTTATACTAATGTGCCTTACACACAAGGTATGAATCTCCAACGACTAATATTTATATAAGAGGAATCGTTGGTCTAATGATAATGATAACAATGCTAATAAACGGGTCTTGGATTCGATCCCCACCGGGTCCAATATGATTTTTATGAGATCAAACTTTTCCTGAGATATGTTGAATTTCTGAAAACTTTAACTTAGTATCATAGTATTGGTTAGAGCAGCAGCACGTGTGGATGCCGGTTCAATTCCTAAAATGAAGATGATGAAATGAACATAGATAAGGTGAAGATAAATCGCGTTTCGGTTTTAGTCTATGGATTTCCGAATATTCAAAACTTTCTATGTTTTATATCGTAGACATATCTAGACTCAACTGTAGAATATTTTTTTTTTAAATCATTAACATACAAACAGACATATAATTATGATTGGGCTCTCATCTTTAATATCCCGTAACTAAACCATTAAACATGTCAGGGTAAATAAAAACCGTTATATAATTGTATTCAACTGTACTGTATGTTTCAGAACCTGAGAGAATACCGAAGGTGCCCAATGTTAGTTATGGTTATGAAACTTATGGGTACCAAAAATATCAAGACACTGCCATTGAACACTATCAGGATAATACTTATACTACGAGGTGAGCTTTCTTTCTCAGCTTTGTAATTTTTCTTTTATTAATTCACAACAGGAACTCTCCAAAGTATTGTAGGCCAAAACTAAACATCAAACATTCATGTCATATTTTCTGGTTCTTGTACGTATAGTACACGAGACACCCTCCATCTTTAGTTTCTCCGTGAGCACAGCTGCTGCAGCAGCGGGGGGTTGTTAAAATAAGTTTAACTAATATAGATAGCTTTTTAAATGTGTGAATTTTTTTTTTAAAATCGAAAATAAATTGAAAAAAAAATCGTCGTTTTTTCAATTTATTTTCGATTTTTATATTATATAGTGCCTTCATGTGCAATGTTATATACATATAGATGTAAAAAATATTAAAGTTTTCAAATGTGTGTGTTTTATTTAAATCTTGACAAAAAATAAGAATAAACTTCATTACACTTTTTTCTTATTCATCCGTAGTCATTCCGTAGTCCATTTTTTAAATCATGTCTTTTGTTTCTCTCTTAAGAATCTAACGCGAATTTCAAAGAACGTTTTGGAAATATTTTTGAAGATGTTTAATGACATTTTTTTTCAGTGATGAAGATGGAATGCAGCCTTTCTTTAATGAAACTCCGCATGCGACACCCTCCGCAACAACAGGAATATATTGTTAAAAATATCTATATATAGATTAAAAAATTAATATATATTCCATTCTTTACTTGATTAAACCCCATTATTTAATAAATAACAATTTAAAAGTTTTATCAACTTTCATTGTGATAAATATTTTATTTTAATTTGCGTGGCTTATTAACCTAGTTATATTACTTTATTTTGTATGAAAAATATGATTACTTTTAGAATAATTCATTATCTTTGACAATGAACGTGAGCTCATTGAAAGATAAAAGCTTCCGCTTTTTGACCTTGACCAATCTGAGCGTGTCGAGTGCATATTAGTTTTTTATTGAAAGTTCAGTAAATATGACGGCTCATATAGCCACTCTATATAATTCGTTAACGCTGTCTATAACTAAGTGTTTATTTAATATTTCAGCACAAAAAACGACTTGGGGTGAAAGTGATACGAGTGCACAGTTTTCATATACGGTAACGGAAGATGACAATAAATACATATCGACAACCGCGCCTTCAAAAACATATTCACGGGTAGAACCGCCCGTTACGAAACAGGAGGTCCTTCGTGACACAACCTATCAAACTTACGAGTCTCAGTATAGCGATCAGCAATATCAAAAAAGTGACACGCAAAATAGTTTTCATCAAGATCAAAATCAATACCATCAGAATGAGGAAAGTCAATATCATAAGGATCACAATCAGTTTAATCAAGAAGCCCAAGATAAATACTATCATGATGACCAGAAACCATACGTTGAACAGAAACATGAAACGCAGTACCAAGATCAATACAATCATCAATATTCGGAAGGTCACAGAAGAAGTTTGCCATATGAACAGGGTCCATATCAACAAGAAACAGGCGTTTATGATAAACAGCAGGAACAATTTCACGATCATTATCAACAACAACAAGATCAGCAGCAGGATGCAATTTATCAACAGCAATATCAACAAGATCAACAGCTTGAACAGCAACAATACGAACGGCAGTCATATGAGGCTCAACAACAATATGACAAGCAGCAACAATTACATGAACAACAACAACTGCAACAACAGCAACAGTTACAACAGCAGCAGTTACAGCAACAACAACAGCAGCAACAAAAACAACCCGCTCAACAAATTCAAGCTTCAGTTCTTACAGGTGCAGCTACATTGGGTTCTTTAATGGCTGGAGGAGCTAAAAAACTAGGTAGCTTTTTTGGCGCCGCCGCTGCCGCAGTCGCTCCACCAGCTGTCAGTCAACCACAACCAGCCGCCACAACAGCACCAATAAACCAGTTTGTGTCTGGTATAACACCAGTTACAACAATTACATCGACTGCAGCGCCAGAAACAACTATAATACCAGAAGTTTCACAAATTTCTATTACAAATGCCACGACCACAGCACCGTCATTGCCACGAACTCCGTCTCTGAAAAGACAGGAATCAATACAGCGACCGTCGGTGAGAAGGACGCGGACATTACCTGAAGCTCCAGACGATTTCACGTCGAGTTTCGACGAAAGTGCCTACGAGGACGAGTACCATAAGACTGATTTAGATCAAGTAGAGCGTGACAGAACTTCTTTGGATAGGTATCGTGATGAAGATAATATTGCTCATGATACGATTCATGAAGATGTTATTGAAGAAGAGCGTAAAATTGAGGAAATAGCCCCAAGTATACAAAAAACTGCATCGCCCACTCGGAAGGGTTCAGTTACGAGAAAACCTTCCGTTGATAGTTACCAGAGTCAAACGCCTTCAATACTTGATCGAAAAACTTCACAAAGTTCATTCGCATCGCACCAAGAAGAAAAGCTATCAATAACGACTACACAAGAAGGTAACTCTTAACTCCCGTTAAAAAATTTATTTCAATTTTGAATGATACAAAGACAGAATTTGAATTTTATTAAATATTATATTAATTTATTATGTACATAAAATTCTTTTAAATAAAACACTTTAACGGTTTAAAACGCGATATACACGGCAAGACTCCCCGTGACCACGGCTGCTGCAAAGCATCCGAAACGTCGGGCCGAAGTTAAAAATCATTTTCAAATAAGTTTAACTAATATATCGCGTTTTAAGCCGTTAAAGTGTTTTATTTAAATGTGTACTACTCGCGTAAACTATAGACAGCATACAATTCTTTGTTTGTAGAAACGGCCGCAGAAAAATCGAAAGTCACCTTCCAAGATGAACGAACGACATACCACGAAGTTCCAGATGAAAACACATTCCACGAACGACAGGAATCCTTTGATCAAGGCGGTGAATTCCAAGACGACGAACAGTTCCAAGATGAGGTTTACAGGGACGAGAAATTCGAAGACCAAGATCAATTTCAGGAAACTGATGAGCAGTATGAAGAAGAATTCCAAGAGCAGGATAGGAGAATGGAAGAACTGGAAATAGAGCCGCAGCAACCGAAACTAACGCCGAAGCAGAGATGGCACCGTGCCTACAACAAGATTGTTATGCAGCTCAACGTGAGTACTTTTATAATTAAGTGGCTATCGAAACAGATTTCCATTCTTTAGTTCTTTTATTATTAACCTATAAAAAATTTAATATAGAGTAAATGTATTATTATTTTGGAATCCGTTTCAGTAGACATATGTATTTTTTATTTTATGAAATGGAGAATTATTATCTATCATTGATAAGTTAAGAGAAAAGACGAAACTTCGAGGAATAAAAGGTAAGTGGTATTTTTAATCAATGATTATATAGATTCTACATATTAAAAATAACCACACGACAATCTAAGTAACCTTAATAATACCAAAAAAGTACTAATTTTGTAAGCCATTTATTTTTAAAAGATATTAAATAGAAATAAAAAGACAGCAATTAAATAAATTGGCAGCTATTTCTCTCGGGACCCCGTTGTGAAACGCTATTACTTAATACTTAATCAATCCATTGCCAGCTGTGTTATATGAAAAAGCTGTTACCAAGACTTACCTCCTACTGATTTAACCTTGCCTTGACAACAATGGAATCCTTTAATAGAGTACTTTATCGGTTAAATTTTTGACTATTATTGTTTGATTATAAACATTAAACTTATAAACAATAAAATATACCTATTGCACATAATGAAAAATGATAATTAAAAACGGATAGAAAGCCAATAATTTGTTTCTGATATTCGGCGGCAGTACGACCAAGTTTAAATTATAAATATTGAGAATGATCTATGATAAAGGCCTAGAATGATATTTAAGGTGTATTTTTTATCAATTAATAATGATTATAAAACCATTATCTATTTATTCAATAATGTTTTTTTGAATTTGTGTGTACTCCAAATTAATTGAAGGCGAATCACACGACTATTGTATATTTTAATAATAGCTGAGATACCCAAATATATAAATACTCTTTCTATGCCGCGAAACACTAGATTAGATTTGTTTCAATGTCACTCAATTTGTTCCAATGTAAATTAAATTGACCCTTTCGCCCCCACGTCTACATCTACCATTTTGTATAACTTAATGCCTAAGATTTCGTGTCGCGAGTCGCTGTGGCAATGTACTTTTCACCCTCGCCAGCATCCCGCGGGGTAAGTGGTCCCACCCGCTGGGTCCCATGACGCCTTTGAACTCGATCACCTCATTAGTTCAACTCAAGTTACTTTATCCGTAAACGAATCTACGTTCTCGCTCAGTTAGAAATCGAACTCAGTATCGGTCGCACACTTTAGTGCTCGACAAAAAAACGCCCGTTCAGGGTTAGCGCGTAAACCATGACGGCGGAAGCGCGCGAGGGCGCGATATCTTCCTGCGGGCGGCCGTGGCCTCAATATTTACGAGTCCTATCAGTCATTTGTATGCAAATTGTTTTCACTTCAGGTGTTAACTTGTAGTCCTTGTTCAAACGTCGCGGGAGACTGTCTTTTTGTTTTATTTCACAATGGTTCGAAGTCGGAAAGTTCAGGCGGCTAGCGAAGCTGACGTGCGTCAGGATAAGACGTTTAATCGCTGTAGTGGAACACGGCTTAGGGTCCGTCGTGGTTCGAGTTTGACGGACTTAGATAAGCTTCGATGTAGTACTGGGTCCAGCGGAGGCGGGTCGATAGGCGATTTAATGAACATGTTTAGTGGTAGCGCCACATCGATCGGCAGTGATAGCTTGGTTGCAAGAACTGTTCCTCTGGAGACTGTGCGTAGGAACATACCACCAGTGTCGACTCCGCCTCCGCGCCCGCCGCCCTCTCCGCTTATACACGTGTCTAGGCCTGTGGGACCGCTGACCATGGCACAAAGGACTCTGCGGTTCAGTAGGCTGCTTAAGTATCAGCCCTGTTCGACTGACGTTGCGATTATTTTGGTAAGAAAATGAATAGATTTGTTGGAATAATAGGAAATTATAACTCTTTATTCTAATTTTCCAATCTTAATAAAAATAATATTCTGAAGTCTAAAACATTACATACTTCATTTATACAGGCATATATAGCATGTGGATAATAATGTAATCTAATCATAATGCAATTTACATTTGGCCATCATTACATTTCATATATTAAGATATACTGATAACAACTGAAAGCTCTTAGCATGAATATGAATACAAACCGAAGAAGTATTATAGCAATTGCGCTATAAAAAAAAACTACATCTATTGCATTGGAAAAGTTCAAAACTAAAAACTTTGGTTAAATATGGCGAGTAACTTATTAAAACAACATGTAAATCGACAGTTGCAATGTACTAAGAAGATATACATAATATATGCAGCAAGTCGGTGTAGACTAAAGATTACATTAAAAAAACACGATTAGTAAAAGATAACTTTATTATTTACAATCTTGAATTTGCACCTAGTTCTATGTGTGTTAATTTTTTTCAAGCATACTTCTTCATAAACTTCAGTAGATATTTGAGTTTCGGCATTTCTATATTGTGAATACATCTATTGAAGTCGCCGATAACTTTGACGGAATGCGTCATCATGCGAGATATAATGTCTTTTAAGCACACGCTAAGATCGGACACTTCTTTGAAACCGTGTATAGCTATCTCCGCCATGACCACCGGAAATGGTGACGTTTCGTAGAGGAACTGAAAGATTTTTTTAAGAATCTAAATGTTTGAATGATATAACGTCTAAGCAAGATCTAAGCGCTGTCGACTTATTTTGCTGGACGTTCGGATATCCATAGATTGAAATCGAAATGCGACTAAGGAATTTCGGTAATCCTAATTTACATTAATTGAATTATACAACACCCATAAACACAAACAAATAAAATAAAAATTTTATAATACTCAATTAATAAGATTAATAACATAAGAGAGTCTCCCCGTGACCACGGCTGCTGCAAAGCATCCGAAACGTCGGGCCGAAGTTAAATCATTTTCAAATAAGTTTAACTAATATACCGCCTTTTAAACCATTATCGTGGTTTTAATTAATGTGTACTACCCGAAACTATAAACTATTTAACATAAGAGAGTTAGTACAAAGGCAGCCTTATCGCCTGTGGCAATATCTTCCAGGCAACCTTTTGGGTAGGGAAAATATTTTTAAATAGGCAAATAACGTTAATAACTAAGAAATTAGTATTTTTCTTCGATTCTATGACTATTGCTGAAATGTCGGATTTGAAAAGTGATTAATTAAATGATTATTAATATCTTCTTCTCACCACAGTCCTTTCCAGGTCTTGGCTTTCATGAGAACAATTTCCGCCGACTTGTTGTTGCTTTTGACATTCGAACAGTTTCGAGGCTGAATATTTCTTTAGGTTCTCCAAGGTTTCGAAGTGAACTTGTAGTTTCTCTGTAACAAATCAATAAAAATAACACTCTCGTTTGAAACTCGAAAAAAGGTAATACCATTTGATGTAGGAACTACTTGCATGTAATTAAAAAACCGTTTTGTAAAACAGATAGGATTTATTCCATCCCATTGTAAATGAGTTAGTTTAGTCGCTCTAGAGCAACAGCACGGAACGTTGCACCGGTATTTTCCGAGTCGTTTAAAAATTTATTTTAGGTTTATAAATTGTATAGTGCAATGACAAGTAAAAAAAAAATTAAAATTAGTTTTCAAATGAAGTATTTGAAACATTTTTGAAAACCAATAGTCACATACACATTACATATAATAACTTATACGTAGCAATTGTAATCGTCTCTTATCATATACATCTATCTAGTGTATGTAGCTTATCAATTTATTAGTCATACTATTAAAGCAGTACGCAGTTATGATCACATCCTGTATTGTTCAAAACGGACATGCTCTCTAGGTAAACAAGGAAGGCTGTTCCATAATAATTCTAGGCTTGTGTATTCGGCGATAATAATTGATACACATTCGCCGGATACGGCGGTGACTTGACCTAAATTTACCTGCTGTGACAATACGGACTCTCAAATACAATTTAAATGAAGAGTGTTATCTTGTACTGCATATGGTATAAGACAGGTTTATTTATGTCTGTCGGTTGATCAACTCGTTTCTTATGGCTTCAAACTAATGACATATTATGTTTCACAACTAAGCAATATCTCCGATAAAATAGAAATTCTTGAGGTTGAAAAAAAAGAGAGGTATACGTATCAAACGCACGTATCATTGATCAAATTCGATAAGGTCATGCGAGAGGGGTAGCTCAATTGGCTAAAGCATGAAAAGCTATGTATGCCGCTTGACACTCCACCATATAAAATGTTCTTTATTTTATTTAAATTTATAATTTTAAACAAAGCATTGAAACCTTTAATATTTTTCACATGTTATTGCATATTTCATGTAAATTTTAATTTATATTTTGCACATGATGGCACTATATAAATTAAAAGTCGATTATAAAACTCGATAGCTCAATCGGCTATAGCATCAGCACGGCTACATATGGATGCCGCTTGACGTTATAGGTCTAGTAATAAGACTTTTATTCTCCAAATTACTTAAGCACAGACTCACTTAAAACTAAGCTGAAATGAAGGTAATTTAAGTACACATAAAACTAACCTGGCAATCTCTGTACCCGCTGATAGCCCAAAGCCAAGCAGAGCGTGACATTTTCATCAGCGAGCTGCAGGTTCTCACCCAGCAGTTTTACGATGCTCTCCTTACAATAAGTGCCGTTGCGCGGTTTACGATCGTGAATTATAACCTAGCAAGTTTTATCCACGTTATATTTAGCAAGTGCGAAGATCATAGCAGTTTCAATAAGAGAACAAAAGAGAACTATTATAGTAACATATATTAATAATATGTTTGCAAAATATATAGCTTTAGGTATTTATTATATCAAACTACATAACCTTTTGTGTCCACGACTACTGAAAACCAACTGAAACGATCGGTTGATTTAATGAATTAACTTAACAATAAATAACAGTACAATATAAATGCCTTAGTATTTTGAAATATCCAAATCTAATTGACAGCGCTTCTAGTTCAGATGTTAATTGGCTTGCGTATTTTACCTTCCATCGAGTGAACACTATGCTTATCTGTCTAGCTCTATCTTAGGAAAAAAAATAAGGTACTTTAATTGTCAAATACAACGCATGGTTGTATTTTATTTATGCGTAATCGGCATTATATTTTCTTGTTCAAATTCAATTTAATAAGTATTAATTAACAATATTCTTTTATAACATATACACCTGTAATTGACTATCTTTATAAACAAACACATTAAGAACAAATATCACCAATTGTAATGTGAATTTAATCTAAAACCAGTTTTTCGCGCGCATTTTCTGAGTGAGTAATGATCCGTGACCTGTTTCCCAACTCGTTTGCATATTTTCTACTTTACGAAGCAATTAAATGTAATTTGAAAAAATTGTGACCTAATTATAGTTGTTTAACAAAAGCATAAGTTACCTACGTCGTTATACCTGGCATAATGGTGAAAAGTATTAGCAGAGTATTTGAAAATATATATCTTATTAAAATGTAGATAGGAAAATATAATGTTAGTCTAAGAGTCAACTTATAAAAAACACATGTTACAAAGGGGAGATGAAACCTTACTTGAAAATATAACGATATCTGTTCGAGATATACTGTCATATAATTAATTGCTTTGTCAGCTTCGTTCTTCATGAGTAATTTTATTTGTGAGACCAATGTGTCCATATCCTCTCTTGACTTCTGCGTTCTCACTTGTATATCGGCTATTAAAGTTCTGTACCCGTTTATTAAGTTATCCTGGAAATCAGTTGTCTGGAAGAAAAACATAAATTGAATAACTTAGAAAGACGTCCAAATGTCCAGGTGTCTTCTTGATAGCTAAAATTGATAGCTCAATCACTAAAGTAAGTTTAGAATTTCAAAACAATAACATAATTCGAATAAAACAAAATGTATGTAATTGTATATTACAGTATGGTACTTATTTGATACATTTTTTTCTTATTTTCCAATGTCAAAAACATTAAGAAAATTTGTATTATGTGGGGATCCCCCACAATTGATATATTCTATGATCTTAGATAGCTTCAATAAACGTAACAAAAATATACATTATCGTCAAATCAAGTGATTTTGAAGATAGGTTATTTAATTTAGGTAAACATTTAAAAGTTATAATATCGTTGATTAAAAGAGTTATCGAAATCCCAAACCTCATTTGTTTTCTAACATGCTCTTTGGGAAAGTGAGTTCGACGTAAAATAGCAGTAAATGGAATACGGATATATAAAATTTACGAGGGTCGGTAAATAAGATATTAGGACGAGAGATTGAGAAATAGGGATTTTACAATTGTGAACAGTTGAGAGGTTTTCATTAATGGAGTTTTTACTACTTCAAAAGAGATGGATAGAATTTTAATTCAATCATAATTATTAAATGAGATATTCACAGTTACAGGTAGAAATATAAAGGTTATTAAAAAAAATGTTAGCAGTATTTGTTTTTTTGTAAATCTGAGAATATATTTCAAAATATTTTCACTTTAATATCACCTTCTTAACAATTAAACATTTTCTTGTTATCATGTGCCGCGTGATCGCATTATTGAAGATAAAACACATTAAAATTGTCATAGTCGTTTGTTTATTTCAAAATTTTAATGAATACTATAGTAATTTAAAAGTAGTATTCTTTTTTTTAAATAGTTCAATTTTGGAATTATTAAAAGGTAAAAATAAACACCAAAAAATCGCATGCGGTTTTTAAAATCGATATCTATCTCGTACAAGATAGATCTAAAAAAGGAATTCTTCACGCTATCTCTGAATAACGTGACTATCTTAACCAGAGTCTAACGAAATGCGCGAATGTGAAAATCTAACTGTGAAAAAGGCTTAGCAAACTGACCTGAATGGAAAAGACGACGAACAAAACGGCGAGAATAAAAAAGCTTTCACGAGTCATCTTTTAATGTATTTCAATCTCAGCTATCACACATTTTTTAAAGGATTATATTATTTATATAAGGATCAACACCTTCGTTCTCATTAATGGACGATCAACTGAGTGTGAAGTTGTTTCTTTGTTCGGAATTGTTTTCATTTCGGCCTGTGATTGAGTGGCCAATTGTTATGATTAGGGTTTGTTTACATGGACATTATAAACAATTTAAGTAAAACAATGCTAGTGAATTTACCCTTATTGAATATGAACATAATAAGAATGTTTTTCTTATTATGTTCATATTGAAAAATTAATATATTTTTTAAACGACTTTATAAAATATTGCATTCTACAACTAAAAAAAACTCATTATACACATACACACAAACATTTTGTTTTAACTATTTATTTTATATTTCAAAAGATTTGAACCGTCTTTTGTTTAAAATTTTGAATTGAAAGGAAAGATTCATACCAATGTAAATATAGGTGATCGATAAGCACTTCAGTTTTAAAATCCGTGAATTTTCATATTTTATAAGACATACTCTTCAAATACGTTATTGTCCTCGGAGAACGGTTTGTACCAACGTGTGAACATAATATTTATGAGGGTATATAAATTTTGTCACAATCTGGGACCGTTCGAATTTATCGGTTGTGGCATTTTTATAGCTCCTGTCATCTGATTCTACCACAGGTTTAAAATTTTACGATCGTAGTATTATGTAATTATATTCAATTGAATTAAACTACTATCTCTGCTACAAAAATAAAGGCGTGCCTTTATTTTTAAGTAGCAGAGATTAGCTCTCAGGCATTACATTATTGACTATGAACAACAAATATTGTTATTAGTTTTAGGTTTGTTATTAATTCAGTGGTAAAGTGGATTTAGACTATTGAAATTTAACATATGTACTATTGTTTTTGTTAATATATAGTAGTTATAAGGGGGAATACTACAAGTATAATATAATCCCCCCCCCTTATATTACCGTATATGGAAAATACGTATATGTAATACTATAATTACAGCATGCCAAACACGAACGTAATAGGTAGTTGAGGCTATTTTAAGATTCTGTAAACCAGAGCCATCTTGCCTCAACGCCTTGTACTAAAACATCAGAACATTTTACTGTAGATCGAATAAGACGTCATAAGATGGCGTGACACGGCTTCTGCTACGAAGCTACGACCCGTAGCAACAATCTTAGACTCAAAGTCTCAATTCTTGTTGCTACGACTAATGATACCTTGAAAATTTATGTATGTAACTGATACATTTATGTTTTTTAAAGTCAAACCTTTGTATTTGCGTGTGTTGCTTAACTTATTCTAATATTTTACAGTCAATTTTACTTAAAAATAAATTTTAATTATGCTCAAGCATACTTCAAAGTTACGGAAATGTTGATTAATATTATATTAGCTGGAATGTTTTTCCAACTTTGTTAATTATTATTGCGCTTGTTTTTTACTTTTTATTTGAGTCATGGCAATAATTTTAATGATTTTCAAATTACACTACTTTACAAAATTAGCCTGTCATCTCAGATTTGTTATTGAGTCTTGGGTTAGTAATTAGCATTGTCTACCGCATATTAATTATATCTTAACAAGAAACAAACCTTTAACATAAATTTACTTAAACTAAACTTATATTAAAGAAATTTGATAAGGTACATAGACTTTTATGTATATAAATTAAAACGGCTACATCACACAATAAATGTATTGAAAATTTCACGTAGTTATTAAAATTATTATCGTGAAATAAACTGTACCTAATTTCTGTTCCTTATTTCATTCGTTGAAGCGTCTAGTATTAAATTGAATTGTTTCAATGTTCTCATAAAATTTTACAGTTGAAATGAAAACCGAACTGTAGGCTTTTTGTTACAATTTGCCTCCGTAATAAAATGGGGCATTTTAAGAGCAATGGTGCAGAAAATGCTGAGTTAGGTACATTCGAATGAGGCTGTTGGAAATTTATAATGAGATGCATTCTGCGTGATAAAAAGATATGTTCCACTTAGATATTCAAATATATAGAATACACCTTCATTCATAACTCAATGGAGCAGGTATTATACGTTTTAGTAGGTGTTAATATAAACTTTTTAAAGTAGAGTAACATGTAATATTTAATTAGAAGAATATATTTTTTATTCATACTACATCGTAGCAGTTCAAAATAAAACGCTATACGAAGCGAACTATATTAGTTAATTCATTTTTAACTACAATACAAAAACAGCGTTGGGTATTTCAAGTTGCATTTACAACCTTCTACAGTGTTTTTAAACAACTTAATGAATTGATTTTCTGGATTTAATTTGTATACATACGTTTGCTCCCACATAACTACATCGTTTGTATATATGAAGGTGATTACATTATACGGTAATAATAAAATAATGTTTAACAGAAAATAAGCGAATTTGAACAGTAAACTATTTCATTTAATTTAATTAAAATACGTATTCATTTCTGCGTGTCTTATATTTTTTGTAATATGAATATCCCAAGGAAATGGTGAAAGCATTTTAAATTATAATATAAGTAGGTTCATACTAATGAACTACTTTATTAGAAGAATTTGAATGATATAATTATTATATTGTCACTTGGAGATTAAACACAGTATGAGCACAATGCAATTCCAAATATCCCGACACACCGTTGTGGACTAAAATCCAATTACTGTGTTGAAAATAACAAAGAGTAGATAATTAATTCCGTTTGGTTTTTGCAGTATTTGCTCGTCCTCTTGGTCTATAGACAAAGGCTTCGCGCTCACTGAAATCACTAGGTTTTTTGTTTGAGCTTATCTACTATTTATTGACAGTTTCATAGCATAACGGTAAAGCGCATTGCATTGCCTTACTTCGTGATATAGATATAAAAATGTGTTTATCAATATTTAGATTTTATCTTTTTTAACGATGTTTAGGATGATTTAAAAGTTTTGTACGACAAAGTTTTGTACACTAAGTGCTTAGTTTTTAAAATGATTAAAATGATGGCTTGAAAACTTTAATATTGTTCACATGTACTCGGCCAGGACTTGAACCGGCATTGTCAGCGTTCCGTGTTGTTACTCTAAACAATTGAGTTACCGAGTCGTAAAATTTTTGTAATACATTTTTGATTTTTAATTTATAAGATGAAGGGTTAAAAAAAACTTTAACGGTTTAAAACGCCGATATATTAGTTAAACTTATTTGAAAATGATTTTTAACTTCGGTCCGACGTTTCGGATGCTTTGCAGCAGCCGTGGTCACGGGGAGACTAATATATCGCGTTTTAAACCGTTAAAGTGTTTTATTTAAATGTGTACTACTCGCGTAAACTATAGACAGTATTTAAGATGAAGGATGTAAAATACATTCAGTAAAGAATAAATTCAAAGATAATTAGAAAATAAAGACATTTTTAAATTGTAAGCACTTTTAAGTTTACGTTTAATAGATTCCTGTGCACAGTTTTAAACCCTAAAGCTTGCGCTTGCGCTTGTTGGATTTTGTATGCGCATTGAATTAGCATTATTGCGGGTAATCATCATTGTTCCATCGGGCACAAAGCACATTATAGGTAAAATAACGCAGCCTAGGTGTTTGGGATTATCTTTTGTTAATAGTGAATTCACTTTCAATCGTTCCTCGTACATGGAGTACTGAGATAAACAAAACGTCCTCGTGACTCATTCAGATCTGTTTCTAGATGGGAAATGGTCTCGGTTTTTTGTAAATTTATGAACGGCTGTTGAGCGACTATTTTTAAATGCCGCATCCTAAGGGTTAAAGGAATTCTGTTGAAAACTTTAATATTTTTATATAATAACGGTTCGACATCAAAAATATTAAAAAGTAAATTTGTATTATGAACCAACGCCATATACACATACTATGGCGTAGGTTTATAATATTTATCGGGAGCATTAAGACTCTGTACCTAAACTTGGTAATAAAGTAGTTTTATAAATAAAAAAACAACTTTAGTTAAAAAACAATTTTACGACACGGGTACACTTAAACCGAAATTATATAAATTTATAATCGAAAATTAAAATTTTTAAATAAAGTAAAAAAGAAACGTCGGGCTGTTAAAATAATTTTCATATAAGTTTAATTAATATATCGCGTTTGAAACCGTTAAAGTGTTTTATTTAAAAATAAAGTAGTCATTTCATACCTAGTTATACTAAACGTTCATATTTTTGGTTGGTATTTTAAAATTTGAGAACGCACCAATTATGTTTCTTAATTACGTTACCAAACAAAATTATTATTAAAAAATATAAAGTATTCATTAGTCACTTGAATAAGACTATCTGTCAACTCTCACAATTTAGATTACGCTATTAGTAGTAGAGCTTGGAATCATAGATTTTTATGAAAATTTTACTGATATGCCAACCATACTGTTATTTCCTATTAGGGTTACTTGTTCAGAGAGTGAAAGGGTCCTAAGACTTTGCTGTCTGCCTGGGTCTGTCTCCCAAAAATATTTTATGATATTACGTATTTTTTGGAAAGTGAAACACTCCAGCCTTAAAACATCTTACACGCGCTTAATCAATGTGCTGTTGACTTATTTTTGCTTTGGATTAGAAATGCCACTGACTGAAACTAACTTCACGGCTTTTTAATCTGTGGACGATGGTTCGATGTTCCTCTCAGCCATTTAATTTCCCCATCGCCAGACGTATGCTAGAAAATTGAACATTTATTCTAGGGCGTATAGGCCAACACATAAAACATAATAAACTTGTTGCAGCTATAACAAAAAATAATTATAAATTTAATAAAATTGACATCTTCGGTTTTTTTAAATAAAACATCATTTTATGTGCGAACCCAAACTTGGTTGGATTTTTAAAATAGCGATAGAAATTATTTAGTTTTTATTTATATTTTATTGCACAAAACATGATAATGATACAGAATAAAAACTTATGATACTATGGATCAATGGGCGGCTATCGCTTAAGCGATCTATTCCAATAGTAGATA